TTGGGGTTCAGACTCAGCATCGGGATTCAGACCTTTGGCGAGGGATTATTTGGGACTGTATCGAAGACTTGGTGTTGACGACATTTCCATCTTCCCCCTCCCCCTTCATTTAATCCCCCTCTTCTTCGTCTATATGTATGATCAGGGGACTGACGCATTCTTCCTGTGTGCGCGTCAGCCCCCCCCCTTCACACCATGGAATGATGATGATGCATGATTGGTCTGCATGGCAGCGTGATTGACCGGATCATTGGTATTCAAGCCTTCCGTTGTGCTATCTTGTATCTGGCGAGAAAGGTCGGTTCTTGGTCTGGTCTGCATCGTTATGGTATGCAACAAAAGCCTTCTTTCGCCCTCGATTTTTTGAAACACAGTGGTCAAGCAAAAGGGATAGCAGAATTTGGGCTCTTTGACATCAAGGACCTGAGAAGGCATTATTGGCAATTAAGCGGGAAAGTTTCATCTCGCTAGAATTTTCCACTAAACTGTGGGGAATCACAGTCTTGAGGACAGGCCAGGAAGGCACAGAAAGCAGGGATCGCGGCACTAAGAGCCCAAGAACACAGAAAAGGAAAAGGCAGACACGGGCATCCACGGACCCGGAGGAGCAACAACTATCAGCGTTCAGGCCTGACCTGGATATAAATGAACTCAAAGTCGCTTCAGCAGAGTACAAACGAGTATAGAATCAAAACAGGCTACGGAATCAGGGACAAGCTCACAGGACCCCCAAACCACCCCAGCAAAAAGATGGGACAACCACATTCAAATCGACCCACAGCTCTTAACCACGAACAGATGCAATCACTACCAAATCATCAGACCACAAACGATCAGAAGTCTAAAGTGGCTCATAATGTATCTGGCAGGGTCAGTAAATGAATGCCTGGGATGCTCGAAGAAGGGAAGACTTGACATCAGAAGACTGCTCATTGTGCGAAGTGTGTGACCACATGGTAAAGGAGTCGATTTCACACTGTGCATATAATGTCAACATGCAAGAGAAATTTGGGAGAGAGTTCAGCTACCCTGGGAGTACCTAGCCGAGGAGACATACCCATCAGGCCCACTCTTCCTGCTTGCAGCCTTGGACAAAGGAGTCGAAAATGACGAGTGGAAAATGAAACCTTGTCCGGAGATCCGCTCTATGGGTGATATAGAGAGCCAGATGCAGGACACAGTGGGAAAATAGTAAACATCAAGAGAGGAAAGTTCGACAGAAGCCAAGGAGCTAGTGGAAGCAGAAAGACCAGATTGGAGAAAAGTCCTGACCGACTGGATAGGTAGGCAGACACATAGAAAAGAACTGGGAAGCAGATCGACTTTGAAGAGGGATGGCTCGATGAGAGCAGGATGACCAGTATGAAGGGTTGAAGCCTATGTTTTGAAAACCGGAGCAGAGTGGAAGAGAGGACCCGCATGGGAATCCAGGAAGAGGAGGAGGAAGGCACATCCTAACTAAGAAGCACTCAGGAAAGATAGGAGGGCAAAACGACTCCAGACTGGAATTGGCAGCAACTGGAAAGGCACTCGGCAACAGGCAGGCAGGGAAGAGCCTAAGAATGTAAACTACCGGGACAGGAGGATAGAATGACTGATAGCCGGACTTCAAGCTGGATCTGGGAAGACATGAAGGAAATCAGATAAGTCAACCGAGTACAGCAGGATGAGTGCATACAAGCACCACCAGAACTAAGGGAGCAACCAGCTTTCGGTGATTGGGACCTGGAAGGATCGGATCTTGAAGCAAGGAGGGGCAATAAGATGTCAGGTTGACCATGGGATAAATGTTTCAGGTCCCGCACTCAGGTAAAAAGGGGCTTTCTGGACCAGTCAAATGCAACAGCTCTAGGGGATCAAGAGTAAACCACACACTCAAGAAGGGCTGCGAGGAGGAACGTAGAATAGACTTATTGAGGGTTTCAGGATCAGAAAGGATTGAGAGCGAAACAGGAATGGAGCAGAGGTAAATCCTTCCTTCCAAGTGAGCAATCAATGCTGCTGTCTCAGGGCCCCTCAGTCATAACGGAGGTCAAGTGAGTTCAATTTTCGGAAGGAACATTGGAACCGGTTTCCAGCTTTCATAACACAATTTCCTTTTTCAGAAAAAAAAAAAGAGGAGAGAAAACAGACACTCAACCAACCAGATGAATTTCACACCATGTCATCCCCGTCATCCTCCGTCTCGCACCCACACGCGAAGAGGTTAAACCACCCACTTCCTCGCCCAGGCAAACTTGAGAATCGAAAATGCGACATTCCGGGTACTTCGGATGAACAGTGCTACTGGGCCAAAATGGCTGGCGGCACCAGGCGAAAAAAAAGAAGAAAATGCCTCCATGGCAATTCGTTCGTTTTTGGCGTGCAGTGGGGATCCACCTCAGCAAAGTTTAAGGCGGCATGAAAAGAACCTCCTGTGTGGTAGTTCAGGTATGTGCACGAGGAGGAGAACTAGCATATATGAGCGCAAGAGAAGAAAACTTTCAGTTGCAGTTACAACAGAAGATAGATTATCACAGTACAAGTTGAACCGCCGCTACCTTTCACACTATCAGTTGCAGTTACAACAGAAGATAGATTATCACAGTACAAGTTGAACCGCCGCTACCTTTCACAGGCGAACTTGAAACATCAAAACGTTGCAGTCTGCAAACTCCGGAGGCCGGGTGTTACCATACCAAAATGGCTGGCGGCCATTTCGGTCCAGTAGCACCCGACCCAAAAGAAAAAAGAAAAGCCGCGCTGGTGCTTAGGCAAAGCTTAGCGCACAATTCTTTTCCGCCTCGGCAAAAAGAGACTCGAAGGTAGTGGAGGTTTAAGAAAAATGTATCACAGAATTCTTTTTGCCAAAGAGAAGAACCATCATGTGCTACTAGAGCAGAACAGTCATCACACTACTAGTCTGCTTCTCGCAGACTAGGTTATTCGCATTTCAACTCTGGAGACTCATTACTATCATACACTGGTGCTCCAGAATTGGAGGCATACGCTATAATCTTTACTACGCAACACACACACAAAAAAAAAGAAACTCGCTCAGATTCTTCTCATGTGCATGCACACAAAGAGGACTGCCACCTAGCACACATTGCAAAGAGATGTGAAGTCCGAGATACAACACTGCTTGCATCATCATAAAACTCTCTCCATCCAATCATCGATGAATCACTTACTCTATCCACCAATCACCTCCTCAGCCAGCCAAGTAGTCTAGCTGGGAAAAGTGATTCGTACTTCTAAGCTCGCAACATCATATACACAGTCATCTATGGATTACCCGTAGACCATCAATTGCTTCACCCCCATTGCACACTGGCTGCTATGCCCGTCAATCCTTTCACCTTCATTGCACGCAAGCTGCTATGCCCATGAATCACTTCATCTCCATTGCAATCTACGCACCGAAAGAGCATAGCAGCTGCCAGCTGGCATGCAAGAAGACCCATTACCAAGCATGAAAAGGATTGGACCTTCCCGGAACACACACACACACACACACATTGCATTGTTCCTCCCGCAATCTGAACACCAAAGGCCATACGCAACAAGACTCTTGACCGAGCGTGCACAGGAGGAGGAAATTAGACCTTCTCCCTCTGCATCCTTCTCGCTTGTGTTCTGTCCTTCCTCCTCGTTTTCTTCTTCCTCCTGCTTCTCCTTCTCATGTTCCTTATACACTTCCTTGTCACCTTCCATTTCCACTTTCTCCAAGCCCACAAAGCACTTCACTGTCAGACATAGACAAGAAGGACAACAGTTCTCAACAACCAGGCTCGGCACCCAGCTGCAATCGGCTGTTTGCATCTCTTTCTTGCTCTTTGCAAGTCAATCCTCCCAGTTCCTCTTTGCCTTTCCCCTCCCTTCACCGCCACCCATTTCCTCTTCCTTTCCTTACTTCTCCCACTATCTTCCTCCTCCAACCACCTTCACCGCCCTCACTGTGATTCCACCCTTACTTTCACCCTTACCTGCCATTCCACATGCCATAGTGAAACAGAATCGACCACTCAGCATGAAGCCACCATAAGCCCAAGATGTCGTTCCATTCTTAAAACGAAAGTGAGAACAAAGATGGTCTTCCATTCTGAAACAACAAGTTAGGAGCAGGCTCTACTAGTGTTATGTTGAACATGGCTGGAAAACTGACCAGTGGTTCATTCTTACTTGGAATGAATATATCGCTAGTGGAGGGGCTGGAGGGCTCCGACAAGACCAGTGTGCAATCAGACTCGTTCTCATTCACACTTTTCATGCATGTAAACAGTAGTGCAGCAAACTGGTGACATGCACCCACTCAAAACTCAGAGATACGGCATCCAGATACGAGTTCACTTCCAACTGGCTATGGCGACTCAGCCCCCAAACAGCTCACTGTTCACATACACCGGATCACCCTGGATATCCCACGCGACTCTCTGAACTCACACACACACACACACACACACACACACTCTAGCTATGGCGGTTATGGCCGCAACACCCTTATCGCTATGCTACGCTCCTTCTCTCTCGCCCACTTCAGCTCCGGGCTCTCTGCAGACCTCCTTGCACAAGTCGCTGTGGCAGCGCTTCCGCATGGCTCACGCAGGAATGAATGAATGGCTGGGCGCTGCCTCTTGATTTATACTTCTGAAACTCGTTGGTCTGCCCTTTGCCATCGGCCCATGGTGCTCACAGTCCCTTGTGGTACTTGCTGGACTCGACGGGGGCTGACTGGACCTGACCGCTGACTGAACGGGGACTCGCTGCTATCCCACCGGACTCGTACTGCAATCGCACTGCGGTTTAGTCCACCACTTGGCTCACCACTTGACCACTTGGCTCACCACTTGACCACTTGCCGACCTTCTAGAAGGACTACAGCTAAGACTTCTGGACTCGCTAAGACTTCTATCCTACAGATCTACAGATCGAACCCCTCTGCTACATACGGACCTATGACAGCCTACCAACTGTTTGCGAACACACAGGTCACAGGTTCAACTCTCGGGGTCTACACAGGCACTGTACACAGATAGGGCAAGGTCTAGGGATCGAACCCTGGGATCTGCGTCTGCTACTGCAAAAGGGGTGAAAACCGTTTCACTCCCGCCGTCCTAAATTTGAGGTCCTACGAGAATATTTCAGTCCAAGGCAGGACCTTTACCCTTTCTATCCCGCTCATAGGCTCTGACTATGTCGGGAGCTGTTTCTAGAAGTTATGTCCTTGTAAACCAGCGGTCGTCTTCCGGTTCCTGATAAGCAAACCAGACTTTATACTGTTTCTGGGAATGATCTCCACCTCCTGTTCTGAACACATCCTCATCTACAATGCCGTCCATGTCATAACTTCCATCCATATCCGGGGGGATCATGGATCTTCTTGAAGGGAACTGTTGACTTGTGACACACGGCAACAGCTTTGAAGCATGGAACACAGGGTATGTGTGGAGGTGTGCTGGAATTTCTATAGTGTAGGACGGTCCATCCTCTCCGCCCTTGACTTCTAGAACCGGCCACAGTCCTCTATATGCAGGCAGTAACTTCTGCGAGATGTGCTCCTCAGGTGCAAACTCTTTAGACTTGACCCAGACTAAGTCGCCTATCTGAAACTGCGATGGGCGACGGTGCTTATTGGCCTGTTCTATCATTCTGTGCTGGGCCTTCCTGAGGTTTTCAACAACAGTTGCTAGTTCTTTCTCGTGCTGTACTGCGAACTCCCTAGTACCGGGCGGCAGTCTGTGAATCTGATCCCGGTTCAGTCCTTCGAACGGTCTGCGTGGTCTAAAGGACTTGTGCAGCTCATTGGGAGTGTGGCAGGTGGATAAATGCACGCTGTTGTTGTATGCACTAGCTACTTTAGGCAACATCTCATCCCAGTTGATCTGATCAGGTCTAATGTACATGCGCAGAACTTGCTGTAGGATCTTGTTCATCTGTTCTGTCTGACCGTTGGTCTCTGGATGGCGGCCAGACGGCATTAACAACTTAGATCCGTAAACTCTCATGAGTTCTTGCCAGTTCTGGCTGGTGAAACGACTATCTCTATCGCTAACGATTGACAAGGGAACTCCATTCTGACTAACCCAATGATCAAAGAACTTCTGAATGACTAATTCGGTGCGTGCCTCTGCAGGCAAAGGAATAAAAACAACATACTTACTAAAACGGTCAACTACGACCATGACTTGGCTCTTGCCATGCCTACTCTTGACTCGAGTATCCATGAAGTCTACGGACACTGAGTCTCCAAGCTGATCAGGAATAGGCAGCAGTCTGAGAAGACCTAGAGGGGCACGCGTAGTGGTCTAGTTCCGCTGGCAAACTTTGCAACTGCGAACATACTCTATGCAGTCATTCTTCATTCCTGGCCAGGTGTACGCACGCATCAGATTGGCTAATGTCTTCTGCCAACCGAAATCTCCCTCTGTGTCGTTGCATTCCCCTAGGATCAGACTGTGGATTTCCTCACTATTGGGAACGCATAGGCGGTCGAATACATCCGTCTTCTCAAACAGCAATCCTTCAGTAGTGTGGTAGTGTGGCTCGGTCTCTAGGGCCTCCTTAACCCTCTTGAGGACGTCACTATAGATAGGGTCCTGCGCATACGCTCGCCTCACTTTCTCCTGCAGGTCTCTCCCTATATCCAGATAGTGTACTATGGCTCCAAAGTAGTCTGATCTCCTACTCAGAGCATCCGCAACTACGTTGTACTTGCCCTTCACTGGCTTAAGCTCAAAGTCATACTGGTCTATTTCAGCGGCCCACCTAGTTAACTTGGGTGTCATCTTGGCCTGAGTCTTTGACCAACGAAGCGTCTCATGGTCATAATACACTTTGAAGCGCCTCCCAAGCAGATAATGTTTCCAGTGTTCTAGAACCTGCCTGAGAGCGTAGAGTTCTCTCTCATCCGTCGAGGTGGCTGCCTTCTCTGAGGGCATCCTCGCTGACATGAGCTCTACGGGTCTATAGCCATTGCCGTCGTCTTGCTGCAACACGGCGCCTATACCATACTGACTCGCGTCCATGGTGACGACAAATGGCAAGGACGGATCAGCTCCCTTGAGGACAGGATACTCTATTAACGCGCGCTTCAACTTCTTTAGCGCAGACGTACAGCCGTTGTCCCATTGCCAGATTGCCTCTTTCTTTAGCAACCTGCGCAAGGGAGCGGCGATAGTAGAGAAGTTCCTCACGAACTTCCTATAGTAGTTAGCTAGGCCTAGGAACGACCGCAACTCTGTCAATGTGCGGGGCGTCGGCCAGTCTCTAATCGCCGCTATCTTGCTGTCCTCTGGCTTAATGCCGTCTCCGTCTAATACGTGGCCCGAGTACAAGACTTGTGTCTTGGCCCACTCGCACTTCTTTGCGTTGTTCTTGAAGTTAGCCTCTCTGAGCTTCTCCAAGACCTGCCTCAAATGACCCTGATGCTCCTGGAGGGTCTTGCTGAAAACTAAGATATCATCTAGATAAACTACTACAAACTTGTCTAACCAAGGTCTAAACAGATCGTTCATACAACGCTGAAAGGTGGCTGGCACGTTAGTTAGTCCAAAGGGCATCACTATGAACTCATAATGCCCATATCTAGTCCGGAACGCAGTCTTATACTGGTCATCAGGATGGACTTCTATCTGATGGTATCCGGACTTCAAGTCTATCTTAGAGAAATACTTGCAACCCTGCACTCGATCTAGAAGATCATCTATCCTGGGCAGTGGTTCAGCATTCTTCACAGTAATCGCATTCAAACCCCTATAGTCTATACACATACGAAGCTCTCCTTCCTTCTTGGGGACAAACAAGACAAGTGCTCCAAAAGGAGACGAACTGGGCCTGATCCAACCCTTCTCAAGGAGCTCGTCTAACTGCTTGCGCAGCTCCTCTAACTCTCTAGGGGACATCCGGTAGACTGCTCCCTTAGGAGTTCTACTGCCAGGCTCTATGTCTATCCTGTGCTGGATGGGTCGCGGCACTACTCCTGTCGGCGACTCAGTCAAGTCTTTGAACTCCTTCAGCAGCTTGGCAGTGGTTGGATCTGTGGAACTATCCTTTTCCTTAGCCTCAGTGGCAAGCCTTACGTACACTACAAAGACCTGTTCTTCTAATCGCTCCTTCACTAACCGCGTGAACGCGGGCGCACTGAGACAACAATGTGCCAAGGTGTTGTCTACACCTGACACATGGAGCAGGCGGGCAATCTTAACCTCGCCTGACGGACTAGGGAACCTACACTCATGCTCTCTCAAGTGGAGTGTGGCCCCTGCTGCCTCTCCCCAATCCATTCCCAATACTACGTCAAAGGGGAGGTCCTCTTGTACGAGGAGAGTGAGGGAATGGAGAACTTTCTCCACCTTCCCATCTTTCTCTAAGCAAAAGTACGCCTAGACTCCCTCTACATAGTCCTCAACACGCATCGTGCGGTTGTCTGCGAGGACACTGACTATGGGATCTACTAACTTTTGGACTTTCAATCCTAGCCTCAGCTTCTTCAGCGCTCTACGGCTAATATAACTATGGGAGCCCCTGAGTCTAAAAGGGCCCCTACTTTGCTTCTGAATACTTCTACATCTACCCATATCAGATATCCCTTACTCTCCTTCTTCATTTTGGCCCAGACTGGCATCCTCTCCTTCAGCTCTTTTGCCACACCTGTGTGGGACGTGCCTAGAGAGACGCTAACACAAGCAGTCTCTGGACAGCTAGCTAGGCACGGGCCTGCAACCTTGGCCATGGGCTCATGTGGTTTGGGAGTTTCCTGTTCGCGTGCGCTCGCTTTACCACATGGCCCTGAAGTAGGGGCAGTTGCGACCCCTACTGGCGGCTGCCTTTTGACTGCTGGGCAGCCCAACGGGCCTGTCTATACTTTGGACAAAATTTGATTAAATGGGCCGGGTCACCACAAAATATGCATTGACCCTGGTCTACGCATTCCTCCCATAAACGCTGGTCCAAGCCCAAGTCCTCCCAGGGCCTGCCCTGTGGCAAGCCTGGGTGCCATCCTCCTTGAGGTGGCCTTCCACCTCGTCGCTGTCTGGACCGATTAGAACCCTGGCGATTTGGCCGGGGACCTTGACCCCTACCTCCCACTTGGCGGTTCCCTTGTCTGCCAACCCCCTGTGCGCCCGTCCTGGGCCTCCCATGGCCTGGCCCCTTTGGCCCTGGCCTCCTCCTCTAACTGGCGGCCTCCCTCCAGCCGTGACAGCAGCATAGGACCTCCCCTGCCCCATACTACTGTGCTCTTCCTCAAGGCCCCACTCGATCTGACTATATGGGACCTCATCTGTACCACCTTCCTCATGTGATCCTTGGCCCTCACTTGGCTTGAGATGGTACGACCTTTCCACTTCTTTCCCTTGTCTAAGTTCTTATGCCAGAAAGTGGAAACTGGTGTACTCGAACAGGACGACTTCTCTACTCAATGCATCGTAAGTGATGCCGGCCTGTTGAGGCTTGTCAAAGAAATGCCCACGCAGGGGCTCTGGCATGGCACGGTAAAATAACTGAACCAATTGGGGCTCAGTAACCCCATGGTCTGGGACGGCTACCAAGTCGTCCATTACGCCCTTGAGTGCTCGTGCACTCCTCCACTGTCGTGAGTGGATCGTTTGTAACTTATCAGAGGCTCTGACGTCTCTCGTTGGGTTAGCGAATCTCTCCCTCAGGACTTTGAAGAATTGAGGAAAGGTGGTGATCTTGGAATATGCAACCATGTTGTTTTCACAACCGGCTGCGCGCGCAAGGAACCTGGCAAAACTAGCCGCTTCATCTTTGAGGGCCTGGAAGGCCACGAGGACTTGTTCCTCTATCAGGATGTGTTGTAGATACACATAACTATTGACACTGGCCTCCCAGTTGTCAAAGTTCTCCTCCTTTCCCCCGTACGCATCTGGGAACTTGAGCTTTACGGGCTCTTTACGGGGTTTGGCCTCACTCTCTACCGCAGCTATCGCTTTGGCACCTTCGATGGCGCCCTCGCAATACTTCCCCACGTTGTCTCTTAACCTCCTAACTTCTCCCCCAACGTGGGTGACCATATCGCGTGCAAAGTCCCTAAACCCCGACCGCATGGCACTCAGGGCTACCTCTTGACTCCAGCTGGCTTGGCGCTCCTCCATCCAAGCCGCGCTCAACACCTCCAAGTACCCCAATACCTTATCCCATTTGGCCTTGTCGTCTGCCTGGGCCTACACTTCCTTCCTACAGTCCTTCACTTTCGCCACCTCTATGGTCAGCCTAGTGACTTCCTCCCTCCCTCCTCTTCTTCTCCCTCTTCATCCTCAACTTCCATTCCAACTTCTACTCCTCCTCTCTTTCTCGTCGTTCCATGGGGTCCTCCATAGCCATCAGCTCCCTGGCTAATGTCTCTCTCTCATCCTGAGGCACATAAGACTCTGGCTCCTCATCTTCCCCCAATGATAAATTAGCGACCCACTCACTTATCTTTCTCTCCATCTCTGCGTCTTCATCCTTTTTCGTGCCACTACTCCCCTCTCTACTCTCGATACGCATCCTCTCTTTTGCTTCTTCTGTTGCTGCTTCCTCTTCGGCAGCCTTTCTCCTCTCTTCCTCCTCTTGTTGAACTCTCTTCATCTCCTCCTCCAACTTCTTCATCTTTGCAGCCTGCTCCTCTGGGATAGCCTTCAACTTCGCCTGTTTCTGGAGCTCTTTCCTCTCTTTGTTCTCTCTCACTAGGGCGGCCATCTTCTCTTGCTGCTCAGGGGTGTAGGGGCTAGTGCTTGTCCCACTACGGGTCTCAACCATGGTGATAAGTGTACAACCAGATTAGTGGTTCCAAGCCTCACCACGTAGACTTTGACCCCTGACTGACAACCTACTGACTCAATCTAAGGAGTCACAGAATCCGGACAGGGATCCTGCCGACTAGGATCTCTAGTCTAGACCTAACTATGGCTGTCACTTCTAGACCTATGAAGAGGTCTCATTTAAGGAGATCCCCCAAACTCCTCAGGAATTATTTAACGTCGCAGACAGGATGACGCGATCAGCAGGTCTCTCAAGACTTAGACGGTCTGTTGTACAGCCCACAGCTCGGATTTTGGGCCTACCGTGCCACACCAAGCAGCCCGCCGGTTATTACCGGTCCTTGGGAGGGTTCGTGTCCTCCGGGACAGTCGAGTCGTCAGACACATCTTTTAGCCCTACTCAGCCCGTGTGGGTTTGGTCAACAAGACCCTATCCTTCATCCACAGAGTACTATCACCTAGGACAGAAGAGACTCGATGCAGAAAGAATAGACAGACAGACTGGACTCAGCAAGTACCAAGGGGTGTGTGCACATCCATAGGGCGAGGGATAGGCTGAGGGCTTGGCGAGATGTTACCGGCTCCAGCTTGGTCAAAGTCTTGGTCAACGTCGGTCAACGCTGCGGTCAACTCCCTGTCAACCCCTGGTCAACTCCGGTCAACGCCGGTCAACACCTCCGGTCAACCGTTTGGTCAGCTATGGCTGCCGGCTTCCCTTCCCTTCACCAACCTTCGTCTTCCTTTCACCCCGGCTGTCTTCTTCTTTCTCTTTTTTTTTTTTTTTTTTTTTTTTTTTTTGCTCATCTCTTCTTCCTTCTCAGCTATGGCTTCCCTCTCATCCTCGGTCTCTCCCCCTCTGTCCACTCTTTCCCTCCTTCGTTACTCCGTGGTGATGCTCCGCGGCTATGGCCGCTTCTCCTTCCTCCTCGTAGGACTCCGCAGGTCACTTCACAGGTATGTGACAACCAAACTTGTATTGCTCATCTCTCTCTCTCTCTCTCTCTCTCTCTCTCTCTCTCTCTCTCTCTCTCTCTCTCTCTCTCTCTCTCTC